TATGAAGCTTTTATAACGCGAGCAGCAAGAAGAATCTGTTCGAAAATGTCGACACGTGTAAAAGAAATTCTTTCGATACTAAAAGTATGAAGACCTGACGAGACATTTGTCGTTCGAGAATCATTAGCCACATGCTATTTTTTTTTAATCATTTCACCTCAAGCAAGGTAATAAAGCCACTAAAACACAAGGCGTTACTGAATGTGAAAGAATAGGAGAAAAACTACTATTAATGAGAGAGGACAATAAAAGAACAACAATTAAGAAGGCAGAAGATAACAATTGACATTGCATTTAAATTTTTGAATATCAAAGGCAATAAAGCCACTAAGACACAAATGGGTTACTGAGCGTTAGAGAATATGAGAAAAAACTACTATTAAGGAAAGAGAACAATAAAAGAACAAGAATTAAGAAGAATTAAGAAGACAGAAGATAACGATTTGGCAATACATTTAAATTTTTAAAGATCAAAGGCAAAAAATGCCACTAGGACGCAAAGCGGTTACTAAGTGTTAGAGAATATGAGAAATACTACTATGAAGTAGAGAGAACAATAAAAGAAGTCGGAAGATAACGATTGGCATTGCATTATATTTTTGAATATCAAAGGCAATAAAACCACTAAGACGCAAATGGGTTACTGATTGTTAGAGAATATGTGAAAAACTACTATTAAGGAGAGAGGACAATAAGAGAACAAGAATTAAGAAGACAGGAGATAACAATTGACATTACATTTACATTTTTGAAGATCAAAGGCAATAAAGCCACTAGGACGCAAAGAGGTTACTGAGTGTTAGAGAATATGAGAAAAAAGTTAGTATTAAGGAGAAAGGACAATAAAAGAACAAAAATTAAGAAGACAGAAAATAACGATTGAAATTGCATTTAAATTTTTAAAAATCAAAGTTATTTGAGAAGTACGATCCCGTCATAGATTTTCACAAGCGAGTAGTGCGATAGAAGACACTGTTAACATAGAAATTACGGTCACCTCTAGCCAATTCAAGAGTAATATGATGAGACCTTGCCGCCAGTCTGGTACTGCGCTTAAATTAATAAAGTTTAGATGCCATAGAGGACGTTAGTCGGAACCATTATCATGAAAGTTTTTACAGAAAAGGCAAAAGAAAGCTACATTAGAGCAGTGGGAAAATAACTGAATCCAAGATACCAGGTCAAGACTAATAACATTGCAGATTATTCTTTGGATTTTATCTAGAATCTCCAAATATATAGCAGGGGTACCAGATCATATGTAGCGACAATAGTTCTAAGCATTGGACGAATGTGTAGTGTGTGTGTTTCTATCTCTCTCTCTATATATATATATATATATATATATATATATATATAATTACTAATGTCAGTCTATTCTCTCTATATATATAAATATATATATTATTACTAATGTCACTCTATTCTTTCTCTCTCTCTCTCTCTCTCTCTCTCTATATATATATATATATATATATATATATATATATATATATTATTAATGTCAATCTATTCTCCCTCTCTCTTTCTCTATATATATATATGTATCTATATATCTATTACTAATGTCAATCAATTCTCTCTCTCTTTATATATATATATATATATATAACTACTGTCAATCTATTCTCTCTCTCTCTCTCTATATATATATATATATATATTACTAATGTCAATCTATTCTCTCTCTCTTTCTATTTATATATATATTACTAATGTTAGTCTATTCCTCTCTCCCCTCTCCATCTCTCTCTGTCTCTCTCTCTCTGAATATATATATATATATATATATATATTACTAATGTCAGTCTATTCTCTCTCCTCTCTCTCTCTCTCTCTCTCTCTCTATATATATATATATATATATATATATATATATATATATATATAAATATATATTACTAATGTCAATTTATTCTTATTAGTTTTATACCCTTAAAACATTGTGTAATGCTCTACCTTGAGTGGTTCTTTGGTATTGTAATCGTGACAGTAACGTTAAGCAAGAAAGCATATCATGAAAATGGAAAGATATAGAAAGTAAAATCCAAAAAGAAATGAAAGGGAGTGAAAATAATGAAAAAAGTATAATTATATTAAGAAGGAAACAAAGAAAAGAAACAATATACGTCTATATTTCTGAGATGAGGTATTATGTACATTATTTATAGTCCGAATAATGTAAATAATGTACAAAAGAAATGTCGTAAAATGAATTCTGGGGGAAAGAAAACAACAGATGAAAAGGAAAAATTATGAAAGAAAAAATATTATAGGAAAAAGCAAACAAAAAAAAAAGAAAAAGAAAAGGAGAAAAACGATAGATGAAAAAAATTGGAAAGAAAGTTATGGAAGAAGCAAAGGATCAAAATCCAATAGACAAAAACAAAATGAGCGTACGAGAATAAATGAATATAAAAGAATCAATAATCGAAAGCTAAGGAAGAAGAAAAAGCCATCAGTGGAAGAAGGAAAGATTAGAGAGAGAGAGAGATTGAGAGAGAGAAATACAGCGACAAACTGAGTGGAAGCGAATGAGGAAGAGGAAAAAACAAAGGAACGTCAGGGCGGAACCAAAGTTTATAGAAAAGGAAGAATGAGAAGAAAAAAGTAAGAGGTAAAAAGAATTCAAAGAAAGAAGAAACAATGTAAAAAAAAGGCAAGAATAAAAGAGAAGCGAAAGAGATGGATGTAGAAGTAAAGGGTGAAGTAAAAGATCGCTTAAATAAGAAGAAGAACACGTGAGAAGAAGAAGAAGAAGATGAAGAAGATGAAGAAGAAGAAGAAGAAGAAGAAAAAGAAGAAGAAGAAGAAAATGAAGAAGAAGAAGAAGAAGAATAAGATGAAGAAGAAGAAGAAGAATAAGATGAAGAAGAAGAAGAAGATGAAGAAGAAGAAGAAGGAGAAGAAGAAGAATAAGATGAAGAAGAAGAAAATGAAGAAGAAGAAGAAGAAGAAGATGATGAAGAAGAAGAAGAAGAAGAAGATGATGAAGAAGAAGAAGAAGAAGATGAAGAAGAAGAAGAAGATGATGAAGAAGAAGAAGAAGAAGAAAAAGAAGAAGAAGAAGAAGAAGAAAATGAAGAAGAAGAAGAAGAAGATGAAGAAGAAGATGAAGAAGAAGAAGAAGAAGAAGATGAAGAAGAAGAAGAAGAAGAAGGAGAAGTATGGTGATGATGATGAAAGAAGAGGAGAAGAATTAGAAACAGATTAAAGAAGAGAAAACTAATGCAGGAATAATTATGGCCAGAAGAATAAAGAAAGAAAGAAAGAAAGAAAGAAAGAAAGGGAAAATTTATAAGTTACAAGAATAAAAAAGGTCTTACAAGTAAGACGAGGAATTACAATTAAAATGAATGAAGAAGAAAGAAAGAAAGAAAGAAAGAAAGAAAGAAAGAAAGAGAGTGAATGTATAAGAAAAGTTGGAAACAGAAAAAGAGAAAAGGAATTAAAGGGAGAGGAAACAAAGAAGAATGAAAGGAAGACGAATGAAAAGAAGAAGAATGAAAGAATATATGAGAAAAACAAGTAAGAGAAAAAAGATTATAGAGAGAGCAGAAAAAAGAGAAATTAGTGGATGATCAAGAAAAGTCATACACAGAAAAAAAGAGAAGTTGAAGAAAAATTAGAAGAGAAAAAGAAGAAGAAGAAGAAGAAGAAAAGATAATAAAGGCGAAGTAAAAAATGACAAATAAGGAAGAAGAAAATGAAGAAAAGCGAAGAAGAAGAAGAAGAAAACTTCAATGAGAAATTAGAAGAAAAAGAAAATGTGTAGAAGCAGGAGGAGAAGAAGAATTTCGAAGAAAGAAAAGAAGAAAAAGAATAGGAAGAAGAAAAAAAGGAGAAGAAAGTTGAAAAAGAATGGCGAAGAATAAATAAAAGCGAAGAAGAAAAATTTGAATGAGAAATTATAAAAAAAGAAAAGGTGTAGAAACAGGAGATAAAGCGAAGAAGAAGAAGAAGAAGAAGAAGAAGAAAAGATAAGAAAGGCGAAGACGAAGAAGAAGAAGAAAGGCGAAGAAGAAGAAAAAAGAAGAAGAAGTAGAAGAAAGACGAATAATAATAAGAAAGGAAAAGAAAGGCGAAGATGAAGAAGAAGAAAGGCGAAGAAAAAACAGAAGAAAGACGAATAATAATAATAATAATAATAATAATAATAAGAAGAAGAAGAAGAAGAAGAAGAAGAAGAAAACAAGAGAAGAAGAAGAAAAGATAAGAAAGGCGAAGACGAGGAAGAAGAAGAAAGGCGAAGAAGAAGAAAAAAAAGAAGAAGTTGAAGAAAGACGAATAATAACAAGAAAGGAAAAGAAAGGCGAAGATGAAAAAAAAGAAAGGCGAAGAAAAAACAGAAGAAAGACGAATAATAATAATAATAAGAAGAAGAAGAAGAAGAAAACAGAAGAAGAAGAAAGAGAAGAAGAAGAAGAAGAAAAGATAAGAAAGGCGAAGACTAAGAAGAAGAAGAAAGGCGAAGAAGAAGAAAAAAAGAAGAAGAAGTAGAAGAAAGACGAATAATAACAAGAAAGGAAAAGAAAGGCGAAGATGAAAAAAAAGAAAGGCGAAGAAAAAACAGAAGAAAGACGAATAATAATAATAATAGTAATAATAATAATAATAATAATAAGAAGAAGAAGAAGAAGAAAACAGAAGAAGAAGAAGAAGAAGAATGGTGGATTCACTTTGTTAGTTATGCACAGTTAAACTGAAACACACACTTAACCAAAGCCTCTTAACAACCGAATATTTACGTACAAACGCGCATGCGCACAACTCATTCTTCCGGGAAAGTCCATCGACACACATTTTTCTGACATGTAATTCTTTCTTTCTTCACATGCAAACGTACAAAAACTCTCTTCATTTTTTAATATGTGGTCCTACTTAACGGCACGTGTCGGTGTTACAGGCATTTTTAGTTGGAGGGGAGGAGGTAAAGAGGCTTATCAGATTCCCTTTTTTTCTGTGTGGGTGGGGTAGTGGCGGTAGGGAGGTTACTATTGATGTTATTGAACTTGGCTGATCATCCGAGCGTGTTTTCCGCTTTCGCCGTTAATCAACCACACCCTTTGCTTCGACCACACCGCGGAGAGCAAGGCCTCCCCAAGGCATATTCCTCTGACCACATCCTCTTTTGATTTCGTTTGCTATCTATCTCTCCCACTATCTTCGTGTCGATCTTTCTCTGGGTGTTACCAAGCTAACAATTTATCTATCTCTCCATTCTTGTCTGTTCATATCTATCTATCTATCTATCTATCTATCTATCTATCTATCTATCTATCTATCTATCTATCTCATTCTGTTCCTATCTATCTATCTCATTCTATTAATATCTATCTTAATTCTGTTAATATCTATCTATCTATCTATCTATCTATCTATCTATCGTTTGTTCATATCTATTTATCCTTGGTTGTTCACATCTATCTATCTATCTATCTATCTATCTATCTATCTATCTATCTATCTATCTATCTGTCTGTCGTCAATTCATATCTATCTGTACTTGTCTAGTCATATCTATTCTTGTCTGTTAATATATATATATCTATCTACCTATCGTCTGTCTATATCTATTTGTCCTTGTCTATTCATATCTATCTATCTATCTATCTATCGTCTGTTCATATCTATTTATCATTGGCTGTTCACATCTATCTATCTCTATCTATCTATCATCGTCTGTTCATATCTATTTATCATTGGCTGTTCACATCTATCTATCTATCTATCTATCTATCTATCTATCTATCTATCTATCTATCTATCTATCGTCTGTTCATATCTGCCTGTCCTTGTCTATTCATATCTGTTCTTGTCAGTCCATATCTATCTCTCTTCCCGTGCTCATATCCATCCATCTCTCTCTGCTTATGACTGCATATCTGTCTCATATTTGCCATTCTGTATATCTCCCTTTTTCTTTCTGTCTGCCTTTTTCTTTCTTTCTCCCTACCACCCCTCTCTCTCTGTATATATTGAACTCTATTCGTTCTCATTTTACATATATATATATATATATATATATATATATATATATATATATATATATATATATATATATATATCGCATTCTCTTTCTTTCTGTCACTGTCCTGCTCATTACAAACTGATTTTTTCGTCTTAATGCTTCCACAGAATTTTTAGCCGTTTTCATTGCAATGGTTATTTTACCATTAATTTTAGAATTCTCGACATTTATTTTTTTTTTTGCATTTTATTTTATATTTTATTTATATGTTTGTTATTTATTTCTTAAATTATTGTACTCGCTGCGTTTCATGCAATTCATTCATTTACGCGCTTTTTTTTATTTTTTCTACCGTTCTTCTTCGGCGCTATCTACACCCGCACCGCGCCCCACCATTCACAGGTTCCATCAACCACCACACCCATCATCTGCTGACCCCTACTGGTTCCCCAACAACACGTCTTTGGCCAACAACCTCCACATAATCATTATTGAACCACCTCAGTAGATTCATATAAAAAAATACCCATTGACTCGTCAGTGTTTGCCAAGAAGACAGTTTCAGCCATGTTTCCTTTCTCTATTTGGATATACACAAACAAATTAACAAAAAAACACAAACACGTATATATATATATATATATATATATATATATATATATATATATATATATATATATATATAAGGATGAATTGCTAACGAGAAAAAAATCAACAAGGGCATGCGAGAAAAGATCAAGATAAAAGGAAATAAAATGGTAGGCTGTACCTGAATGACATATCGATGCGAAATTTCATGTTTTTTTTTTACTATTATTTATCTTTTATATCATTATTTTTATCCTTGCTTTTTTTCTTGAAATCACATTTTTATGATAGCTACAAATCTATCTATCTATCTATCTATCTATCTATCTATCTATCTATCTATTTTTCCGTGTCTGTTCATATCTATCTATCTATGTCTGTTCATATCTATCTATCTATCTATCTATCTATCTATCTATCTATCTATCTATCCGTGTCTGCTCATATCTATCTATCTATCTATCTATCTATCTATCTATCTATCTATCCGTGTCTGTTCATATCTATCTATCTATGTCTGTTCATATCTATCTATCTATCTATCTATCTATCTATCTATCTATCTATCTATCTCGGCCACTTCATATCTATCTATCTATCTATCTATCTATCTATCTATCTATCTATCTATCTATCTATCCGTGTCTGTTCATATCTATCTATCTATGTATCTATCTATCTATCTATCTATCTATCTATCTATTTATCTCGGCCACTTCATATCTATCTATCTATCTCGGCCACTTCATATCTATCTATCTCGGCCACTTCATATCTATCTATCTATCTATCTATCTATCTATCTATCTATCTATCTATCTATCTATCTGTCTCGGCCACTTCATATCTATCTATCTATCTATCTATCTATCTATCTATCTATCTATCTATCCCGGTCTCTTCATATCTATCTATCTATCTATCTATCTATCTATCTATCTATCTATCTATCTATCTATCTAATTCTGTTCATATTTATCTATCTATATCTGTTCATATGTATCTATCTTTACTTTATTCATATCTATCTATTTATTTATCTATCTATCTATCTCAGACTATTCTTTACCTATATATCTCACCCTTTATATCTATCTATCAATCTATCTAACACAAATTTTCTACCTAATATTTATTACTTACTATGTCATTAACTTTTTCATCCGACCAATTCTATAAGTCTATAAACCATACTCTCTCACTCGACACATTTCCTCGTCAATGTTAATCTGCACTCATTATCTATCTATCTATCTATCTATCTATCTATCTATCTAAGAATCTCTTTTTCTCTCTTCCTATCTATCCTACTAACATGTTGTCACGTTCGTTTTTTGTATAATGATCGATTATCTTTTTCCCAATCTGTCTTCCATTATCTTTGTCTCCTTCCTCTTATTTAATACTTCTGAGTTTCATTCTATCAGTCTCTCCAATTTTCTTCTGCCTGCCTCCAAACACTGTTTTCCTCAACGTAAATTTTTCTCTCTTTTTTCCCATACTCTTTTCTCTTAGACTCGCTTTTTCTTATATCTTTGGATTTCCCTTTGTGACTTCTTTCTATCGCATTCCCCGAGTCGCTTGTCTCTTTCTAAATCGTTTTCTTTCTCTCCTGACTAAATTAGTCCAAAATGTTTGCCGCTATGTTTACTGACCAGAAGATCCGATCAGGGATTACCATGACAACAGTCAATTTGGCGAGCCAGGGTCTCACGACGCAATTTAAGCATTCTACGTTTCGGCCAATGTTATTATATGTCCGGCATTAGCCCGTCACGGCCACGGCAGACTCTCCGTCCACTGCGCGCTTGGTTGACTTAAAGAAGAGAGCTACCCGCTGGGGTCGCTGTGAGGAAGGATGGCTGGCAAAATTCTGAGTTTCGGTCGAGGGATTTGTGCCTTAGGTTCTTGGAGAGGTTCTGGAGGAGTTGTAGAATAAAGGGAAGATAGAGAAAAAAATGGTAAAAGAAAAGAAGATAGGAAATGCTTTCTGCCCATTGGAGAGCGAATAGAAAAACGAAAAGTAAAAGATAAACAAAAAGAGAAAGCAGTGATAGATAGATAGATAGATAGATAGATAGATAGATAGATAGATATGAACAGACCAAAGATAGATAAATATAAAGAGAATGAGATAGATAGATATGAAGAAAATGAGATAGATAGATAGATAGATAGATATGAACAGACCAAAGATAGATAAATATAAAGAGAATGAGATAGATAGATAGATAGATAGATAGATAGATAGATAGATATGGATAGATAGATAAATAGATAGATAGATAGATAGATAAAGTAACAGATCGATAGATATGTATAAACAAAATAATGGTAGATAGATAGATAGATAGATAGATAGAAACAGACATATAGATCAATAGACAGAGAGAAACAAACTTAGATAGATAGATAGATAGATAGATAGATAGATAGATAGATAGATAGATAGATAGATAGAAACTGAGATAGATAGATAGGTATAAACAGAATAATGACATAAATATAAGCAGATAGATAGATAGATAGATAGATAGATAGATAGAAAGAAAGAAAGAAAGAAAGAAAGAAAGAAACAAACAAACAAACAAACAAACATATAGATCAATAGACAGCTAGACAGATAGAAATAAACTTATGTAGATAGATAGATAGATAGATAGACATGAACAGACTAAAGATATCAAAAACAAATCAATTTGGAAAGTAAAGTCATCTTTCTTTTCCAGCGGGTAGCGACTTGGAATGAGAAAACTGAGGATCAGATTTCGAATCCCTGTTGAGTTCTTTTGATTTACTTACGCGCAAATACCTTTGAGAAATATATGAATCCATCTCTTGACTCCCCAGCTATAGATTAAATAATAGGAGGACATGTATGTTGAACTATCATTATTATCTCTAAAAAAAATTGTTAATGCAATATTCGTTCTCCAAAATATATATTTTTACAATCCAAAATATGTTTAGCTTTAAATAACTCAGCAAGGGTTGATAATCCGTCAAAAAACAAATAAATTAATCCCCAAAAGCAGTATAATATACAGCATATAACTATATCTGTCTATATCTCTGAGATGAGGTATTGTGATTACTTGCATTATTTACATGATTCGGACTGTTATCCTCATCTTCATTGTCATATTCACAACGTTTCGGCCGTTGTACGCCCCGGCTTTATTCAGGATCTGTGTATATCTCTGAGATGAGGTATTATGATTACATATATTATTTACATTATTCGGACTGTTATCCTCATCTTCATTGCCATAGTCACAACGTTTCGGCCGTTGTACGCTCCGGCCTTTATGTCTATGTCTCTCTATATATCTGTCTATATCTCTGAGATGAGGTATTATGATTACTTGCATTATTTACATGATTCGGACTGTTATCCTCATCTTCATTGCCATATTCGCGAAGTTTCGGCCATTGTACGCTCCGGCGTTCTTCAGATCCTCAAGGACACATGGCCAAGTGGATATAGACGTTGGTTTGATTCAGTGACTAGACCCAAAGAGTTGTGAGTTCGATACCAGGCCACAGCAGTGGTGAACCAAATCTTGGAGAGTTGAGTTAAAGGAAAATAACTGGGACATCCCGAAGAGGCATGGCACGTGGAACTAGAACAGTCTACCCCCGGCAGACGAAATAAACGGTTCGGTTCGAAATTTCAATAACCTGAAGAAGACCGGAGCGTACAACGGTCGAAACGTTGTGAATATGACAGTGAAGATGAGGGTAACAGTCCGAATAATGTAAATAATGCAAGTAAGCATATAATTTAAATTAACAATCCATTTTTTTTTTTTTTTTTACATATCAGAGTTACAATGTTTTGCACATTTGACACATGTTGGGGGTCGAGAAGCCATGCGTCCCTAGAGACTGGCGCGCAAAACCAGCCTCAATGTCGGCTCGGCGACGCAACAAAGTAACATTAAGAAAGTAATCATTTTTTTTTGTTTTTTACACATAGTTAAATATTGATTATCAGCAGTGGAATTCCAAATCACCCCACCAGAAAGCCTTGTGCCTTAAACCAGGGGCAAAAATCGCACGTAGACAGTCCCGGCACTAAATATTTGCCCATTAGCAACACCATACTTTATTCTGGGCCTCCTCAGCCGTAGCTTTATTGGGGTCTATTGGAATATGTGTCATTTTCAATCTTGTAGCCTTTCTCCTCCAGATGCAACTTTGCAATGCCTATCACTTCTATGTGCCGTGTCACTTCGGAACCTAGGCGATCACGGCTCTCCACAATTTCCTCTCCTTTCTTGCTCTTAATAAATTTTGTCTTTTTCTTATTTCTCCTAAACCTTGTTCCCCCAGCCATTTACTGAAACTCATTCTTCTTTTATGCACCCTGTCCATTCAGTAAATATGCGATCACGGCTCTCCACAATTTCCTGTCCTTTCTAGCTCTTAATGAATTTTGTCTTTTTCATATTTCTCCTAAAACTTGATCCACCAACCATTTCCTCAAATTCATTCTTCTTCTATGTACCTTGTCCATTCAGTACACATGCGATCATGGCTCTCCACTATTTCCTGTCCTTTCTAGCTCTTAATAAATTTTGTATTTTTGATATTTCGCATAAACATTGTTGCGCCAACCATTTATTCAAGCTCATTCTTCTTCTATATACCTTGTCCATTCAGTACCTATACGATCATGGATCTCCACTATTTCCTGTCCTTTGTAGCTCTTAATAAATTTTGTCTTTTTGTTATTTCTTCTAAACACCAGTCTGCCATCTATTTACTCAAGCTCACTAAGTAGGTATTTATTGTCTTCCTATTGGATTCAATCTTTCCTGTGAGTATCATATTTTCCAAGCCGCATTTCCTCATTATTTGCTACAAATTTTCAACTGCTTCTTTCTAAAGTTAAGTATAAGTTTCCTTTTCGTTTCTGTTTTTTCTATAACTTCATCGTTGCTCATACAGTCGGGCTCCTGCTGTAGAACCACATTTCTATGCTTCAAACCTTTTCTTCATCTGTGAGGACATTGTTCAGCATTGACTGCCAAATATTTTCTTAATCCGTATCACCCCATGCAAGGCATTAAAGCCACTATAACACAAGGGCGTGTGGAGGAATTATGAACAGAAACATTTATTATGAGGCGAAAGAGAAAAGAGTAATCAGGAGGACAGTAGATAACGATTGACATTGCATTTAAATATTTGAAGATTAAAGTTGGCTGGATAGCATGGACCCGGAAGGACGTCCCATAAGCGATATCTTGCGGCTATATCTAACCAGTTCAACTGTAAATTGTTGAGATCTCGAGGCTAGTCTTGTACTGAAACTTAACTTCAAAACTCTAGGTACCAAAGCGCAGAGCTTATTCGAACAATTAATATGAAAGTATTTACAAAAAAGGTTCAGAGGCAACTTTACTTCTGTACGTAAGTGACTGAAGCCGAGCTGCCAGATCAGAATCAATAATATTGCTGATTCTTCTTTGAATCTTATCAAGGAGGTTCAGGTAATCAGAGAGAGAAAAACTGTACACCTGTATACAGTGAACATACGGATATCAAGTTCATTGCTCTTTTCAGTATGCCATGAATAAAATCATTCGAATATTTTAGGGATTTTTTGTGGAAGCGTGAATGAAATATTAGGTTTGTCACAGATGAAATGACGCATTTTTAGTTGATTGTTGATCTGGTCGTCTAACGAAGTAACCTCTTTAGTATATAAAATAAACCATGAATTATTCTTCAGTCTTTATTTCCAGATACGTTTTGCTTCAATGTATATGATTAAACTTTATTTTATTTCCCTGGTTGGTCCACTGACGTGTGGACGGAGCGATTGCTGCAGAGTCCGTCTACGAAACTCTAAATTCGGGACGCTGAAGATAACACAAATTAACTAAATGACAAACTTTATATTTGTATTAATTCTCTCTCTCTTTCTCACTCCCTCTTTCTTTATTATATATATATATATATATATATATATATATATATATATATATATATATATATATATTAGCTAGAAAAAGCCAAAATTTATAAGGCATTTTTTATTAAAAAAAAAGCTAAAACAAAAACAAGCGGTTTCGTCCCAGGATTAAACAAGTTTATTTTTCTTGGAATAGAAATTTTATAAAAGCGTGTAATTTTTTTTTCTTCTATTCCATTCCATTTGTTAATTTAATTAAACGAAGAAGAAGAAAAAAAGAAAAGTAAAGAACCTCAAGAAGAAGAAGAAGATGATGAAGAAAATGAAAAAGAAGAAGAAAAAAGAAATCAAACTCAAGAAGAAGAAGAAGAAGAAGAAGAAGAAATGAAGAAATGCCATTTTAGAATTGCGAATGAGAACTTCCTAAAACTACACAAAATATTAAGAAATAAAAAAAATGTCATTAGAGAGACAGATATTAGTTCTCAGCCCCTGTAGTATCACCCCCCGCCCATATACCGGTGAATACTGGACAATTTCTTCAGAGGTGTAGAGGAGTCTTGAGACAACACATATCTCGTTCTAAAGTAAGGGCGTTGAGAATAACATAGAAAGAACATGTGAGTAACGAGGAAGTGGTCCTCATCTTTGTCGACATATTTATTACAACGTTTCGGTCTTTTTACGCTCCGGCCTTCTTCAAGTGGTTGGAATGTCGAACTGAACCCATTATTTCGCTCGCTGGGGTAGACTGTTCTAGTTTCACGTGCCATGTTTAATGGATGTCAGTTATCAGTTATCGCCTGTTAATTCACCTCTCCAATACCTACCTTAACCGGGTATTGAACTCACACTCTTTAGGTCCTGTCACTTGATATAACTAACGCCTTTATCCATTGTACCATGTGTCGCTGGTTAAACTTTGTAATAAATATGGCGACAAAGATGAGGACAATAGTCCGAATAATGTAAATAGTGTACATAATACCTCATCTCAGAAATATAGACAGATACTGAAGGGCCGAAACGTTGTAATAAATATGGCGACAAAGATGAGGACAATACTCCGAATAATGTAAATAGTGTACATAATACCTCATCTCAGAAATATAGACAGATACTGAAGGGCCGAAACGTTGTGATAAATATGGCGACAAAGATGAGGACAATAGTCTGAATAATGTAAATAGTGTACATAATACCTCATCTCAGAAATATAGACAGATACTGAAAGGCCGAAAAGTTTTGATAAATACGGCAACAAAGATGAGGACAATAGTCTGAATAATGTGAATAGTGTACATAATACCTCATCTCAGAAATATAGACAGATATTGAAAGACCAAAACGTTGTGGTAAATATGGCGACAAAGATGAGGACAATAGACCGAATAATGTGAATAGTGTACATAATACCTCATCTCAGAAATATAGACAGATATTGAAAGACCAAAACGTTGTGGTAAATATGGCGACAAAGATGAGGACAATAGACCGAATAATGTAAATAGTGTACATAATACCTCATCTCAGAAATATAGACAGATAACGAGGAAGTTTTAAGGAAATGGAAATAAAAACGACACTTATACTTCGATAATGAGAAATTATAGCTTGGAGAATAAGACATTCACAGTATAGCGGGTGTAACAGCAATTTTATCCAGATCGTGTAACAGCGTAATTGGCCATCCCATAATTTTCTTAATATCTAAAACACCACTAAACTAATTCAGATTCTTTTTCCCAGGTTTTCAGATAAGCCGTTTAGCCACCTTGATTCTATTTGTCGTAAGAATCACTGCAATTATTCTGCTAAAATCGTTTTGTGTCCGCCCCCACTCTCTTCCCAAGTGAGCAGTGGTCAGAGGAAAAAGATCATTCAGGCCTTCAGTAATGGTACCAACATTCATACTCTGGCTTCCATTTTCAAAGTCCATTCAAGAACCATCAAGAGAACGGTGAGTAAATTTTAAAAAGTGAAAACAGTAGAGAGGAAGACTTGATAAGAAGGTCACAACAGGAAGAGGGATAACACGTTTGGTACGTGAGGGAGGAGTTTCAGATATGACAGTACAAAGAGAAGTGAAAAAAAGACTTGAAAATGAAATCGTACGTCAAAACTGAGACACCTTGTTACTACAGGACAGAAAATTAGAAGGTTAGTGAGGGCAAACATCATCTTGAATAAGTTAGAAAATTATCCTGGATTAATATATATATATATATATATATATATATATATATATATATATATATATAAGCTTAATTTCAATCCTTTATTAGCTTCCGATCTTAGCTATGATTACTTAATGATGAACATGCCATTTTCTTTCCTGATCGATTTCATCACGATTCCTGTTAAGCTTGGATAGTAATTATACATATATAATTCTATGTTCCTCAAAGTAGAGTCCAGTAGTATTATAAAAAAGAAACTGGGGAAAATTCCAGTAATATATCTTTAATCATTTCTAAGATGTATCGGGTCAAAACTTAATCTAACATCTGGACAATTTTGCTGTTACACGATTTGGACAATTTTGCCGTTATACCTCTTATATGTTAATCATTTCACCCTAAGCAAGACAATAAAACTACTAGGACGCAAGCGGTTACTCAGTGTGATTGAATATTAGTAAAAGAAAACACATTAAGTAGCGAGGACAATAAAAACCAGGAATTAAGAAGATCAGTAGTGTTATAAAAACCTCGGAGAATTCCAGTAAGATATCTTTCATCATTTCTAAGATACATAGTTAAAATCTTAATCTAACAAATAGACTATTTTTATATATATATATATATATATATATATATATATATATATATATCAAAGGCAAAAAGAAAAACAAGGGAAAACAACGAGACTTAACAATTCTGTCTAAATGGAAAGAGAGAATATTAAGATGGTAATCAATACTTAAAGCTACTAAGGTAGGAAGTTAGGGAGAGTCATGATCAGGAACGTCCAAAAACCCCTAAAAAATCTTTTAATTTTAGTACCACTAAAGTGGCAATTAGATTTATTCAAAAGTTTATCGATAAACAAAACATTGTACTGGATGTAATTAAAAGTTAAATCTAAAGGAAGAATTAATTTAAAAAGGGAATTTTTTTTTTTTAAATTAACACTTAAAAATACTTGAAACGGTGAAAAGGTGTCATTGCGAGTAAAGTAAATATTAAAAATATAATATAAAAATTTGAGTTAAAATAGTTATACTTTCAAAAAATAAAGCCCACAATTAGGAAAACAATGAACTGTAAAATATCCGAAACAAAGAGGAAATAAAGATCAGTAAATGTCAAAATAAATTGGCTTCAAATAAAAGTTGATTATGGAAATTAATAAGAAATTTCAAATGACAATGACAATAAAACAAACAATAACTGTCTCCTAAAACGAGGAGAGGTTTTGATTTCATTGTTAAAATCTTTTCATTTAGATGCTTAAGTTTTCATTCTTTTTGTTTTAGCTTATTGCATATTTCTTGTAGCCATTTTTATTCGCCTTTCACTCATTTTCGAAACATGACTTTTTTGCTGAATTCTTTCTTTGTCGTTCTTTCTACCGATTTTTTTTAATTTTCTGCTTTTAATTTCTTCCTTCTTTTCTTCTATATTTTTATTCTTCTCCATTTTTATTTATGTTTTTATTTCATTCGATCTTTCTATTCTTTTCTATTTTATTCTTTTTTCTTTCCTTCTCTCTTTTTTATTTTTCTATATTTTTTCTTATTCTTTCTTTCTGTCTTTTTATTTTTTCTATTTTATTTCCATTTTCATTCCTTCTTCTTTTTTCTTTCCTTCTCTCTTTTTTATTTTTCTATATTTTTTCTTATTCTTTCTTTCGGTCTTTTTATTTTTTCTATTTTATTTCCATTTTCATTCCTTTTCTCTTTTTTTTAATTTTTTTATATTTATTTCTTTTTATTTCCTTTTTTATTCTTGTATATTTTATTTTTTTACTTCCTTCTTTTTTATTCTTTAAATTTTATTCCTTTTTTCTTTTCTTCTATTTTTGGTTCTTTTATATTTTTTCTTCTTTCCTTCCTTCTATTTTTTTGATTTTTGTGTTTTTTCTTTCATTGTCTCATTTTGTTTTTCTACCTTTTATTTCTTTTTCTTTCCTTCTTTCGTTTTATTCTCTTCTATTTTTCTTTTTTTCTTTCTTCTCTCTTTTTTGTCTTCTTTGTTTCCTTTCCTTTTTTCTTTCTTTCTTTTTATTATTCTCTGTTTTATTCCTTTATTCTTTCCTTCTCTCTCTTTTTCTTCTCTTACTTCTTTATTCTTTCTTTCTCTCTTTTATTCTTCTCTTATTTCTTTATTCTTTCCTTCTCCCTTTTTGTTCGTCTGTATTTTATTTCTTCTTTTCTTTTCTAGTTAATCTTCTGTATTTTTTTTCTTTTTTCTTTCCTTTATTCTTTTTTTCTTCCCTAATTTATACCTTTTATTATTTCCTTCTCTCTTGTTATTCTTCTATATCCTTGTTGGTTTCTTTATTTGTGTTTTTTTTTATTTCTTCTTTGTTCTTCCTTTTTCAATTTTCTTCTTTAGATCGTTGTTGTTTTTTTCTATATGTATTTTTTTTCATTTATTTTCATTTATTCGTTCTTACATTTTTTCTGCCTTCTTTCCTTTCCTTATTTGTTTGTTTGTTTGTTTATTTATTCCGTTTTTCTGTCTGTCTTTCTTTCTATCTTGCATTCTTTCCATACCTATTTTTGACTGTTCATACCTTGGCCCTGCCCTTCTGAATTTCTTCTTTTAGTTCATTCGTTCGTTTTTTTTTTCCGTTTTATTCTTTCTTTCTTTCTCTCTCTCTCTCTCTCTCTCTTTCTTTCTTTCTTTCTCTGTTCTTTCTTTCTGTTTCCTTTTTGTTTCCTTCCTTTCCTTTGTTTATTTCGTTTTTGTTCTTTCTTCCTCACTTTCTTTGGTTCTTTCTTTCTGTATCTATTAATTTTATGATTAATTCATTCATTCGTCCTGTCTTCCTTCCTTCCTTTCTTTCTTTCT